CAAATTGATGTTTTATTTCTTGTAACAGGCGTTGCTTTTTTACTGGATGTAGAAAACTATGTTAAGAAAGGTTATATTAGCAATTCTAAAACTTTCCCCGAACGTCCAAATAACAAAGTTTTTCCAGAAAGCGTATTAGCATTTAGAAATTAGAATGGTGAGAAATATGTTCAACTTAACATTTTAATTAAAAACAAGTATAATGATAACTTACAAATTTCAGTATATAATGATGCAAAGATGTTTGCAGATATTGTATGAAATTAATATTGAATCATTAAATACTTTTTACAATCAAAATACTAAAATGAAAAGCACAAAGGAATAATTTCGTTAATTAACAAGCACCCTTGCTTTTACACACTGCATGGCGTAAGATCACGTAAAATTAACATCATCTGTGTTGTAACATTGTCTCCGCATTTAAGTCTATGCTTGCATTGTCAGAAGAACGGTCAACCGCTGAAAAGTGGTTAAAATCATGTAATTGCATCTCCGAATGTGAGAGGATCAATAGGTCACAGGTAATGCTATCTGCTTTGGAAAGAATTAAAGAGACACCTGTTTTCTGTCCGATAAGGCCATTAAATAACTTTTAGAGGCACTAATTGAAAAGGAATCTATCAACTAGTACAACATTACGAAATTTAGTTATTCCTTGGCGAACGCGAGCTTACCTTGAATGATAGGTTACAGCGTACGGTGACAAATACAATGGAAATTTTGGGGCTCATAGAAATGTTGCCTCATTGGAATCCAAGTCTAGAAAAAGATTTCTTTTAAATTTAAGAGACACACGAAAAGCGGAACTACTTTGAGTACATTCTGTCTCCACCGATTCTCAAAATGAGTCACCTGATGAATTTTCTGAATTTCCGAAACAACAACATTTTAAAGGATAAGAAAGACTGCAAGTTATTTTGCAATAGTTCCGCTGAACGCATTTATATACCGCTGGATAACGCATTGTACCACCTTAAAGCGCCATTTTCGCATTCATATTCCATTATATAATCTGCTATTCGCACTAAATAGATTATAGATCATACAACATTATATATATATATATATATATATATATATATATATCGTTGCAGATAATTTGGCATTAGATGAGTGCTTGACTACGGAAGACGCCAATTATTCTGCAATCGCGTGTGGATTGATGTTAGAAGATCACTGAAATGTCGATTACGTAGTAGAAGATGACGGAAACTTTTGAAGACTTACAAATTCACTTGATAATCTAAGCATATCTTTATTACTTGCTGATTACTCTATGTCACGGCATATCACAATGGGACAATCTGCACTCCACATTTTTATTATGAAGCCTTACATTTTTAATAATAAATAGAAGCAGCCAGACAAGAGACGTCCTTTAACTAGTAAGCGAAGGTAGCAAAAGAGGAAGCATAGTTAGTTGTAGTACTATTTATAAGCTTGGGAAATGTTTTGTTTCAGTTCCAGATAGCGATTCGGCAAAAGTTTACAGCAACGCGAATACCGCAGGGAAATCTCAGGTGCCTTCAAAGAGTTGCTTTAATTGAAATATAGTAATTTAAAGGTCTATTGTCAATTTCGTTCAATTAAGTTTTAATTTGGTAATAATTTTTTCTTCATATTTTTACATCTTCCATATTTTTCCTTCTTCAAGGAGAAAAAAGCTTGGCGAGAGAAAAGCCTTTGGAGAAGAAAACATTAGTGTGTTAACAAAGGAGAGAAATCTTGTAGAATATTTACAAGTTTTGATCAGAAAACAACTAAATGGCTTCAAGATGTAATTTAAAAGTTCTAGAACAAAATATGATTTTGTATATTAAATTTAGAATCCAATTTGAATGCTTTAGGCTTGAAGGTCGCTTGATAAATTATATAGTTTTCAGAAGGTCTTTGGACAAAAGTAAGTGATATTATCAATATAAAATCAAAATATTTAAACTGTATACCTATGAAATTTAGTAATATTAGTATTTATGTAAGCATTATAAAACAAAATCACATATTCTTATTATAAAGCAATATAAGAATTAATACACAAAAACTAAGGAAATGCAATATAATAATAAACTTTGAGGGGAATAAAATGGCAGGTCTTCTACAAGCGAATCAGCATAACTACTTGCCGATAGATGGGGGACGCTTAGATACAATTTACTTAAAAACCTCCGTTCCTCATACAAGGTAACTGGCTGTTAGCACTGCATGAGAAGAAAAAAATCAATGTTTGTGTTTACTTTTTATGGCCATAGTACGCATCTGTAATAAACAGGAATAAACATGCAAAATTAAAAAGAAAGTTAAGACAAATAACTTGTGTGCCCAAGTTATGTCTTAGAAATTTAGTAAACATAATTTTACATTAGCTCACAACAATAATTTTAAGAAAAATGCTTTAGGTAAAAAGCAAGCAGACTGAGAGAAAGCATCAAATCTTGAATAAAATTGTCCCAATTAAGTTTTAAAATCTTCATAATGATACTTGTTTAGAAAAAGCCATTTAAAAAGTTTCACACAATATAAAAATTTTGAATACATCCATTAAGTATTCTACTTAATGACAACTGATTTCAAAATTTCATTATATAGATAATTTTTCATTCCATTTAACATCATTTGAAGTAGGTTTATAAATAACTAGTTACAATTTATGATTATAAAAGAAGATATCAAAACTTTATACAGTCACATCGGAAATAATGGAAATTGCTTTCCCTGTCATCCATTACCAATGTTTAATTTTCTGAATATTTTGCTTTTCATCAGCAACCTTTATAATACTTTTTCAGCCCTTACTGTTAATTTTTTCGCGTATCTCAGACAAAAAGAACAGTTGGTTCATCGGTCGCTAAAAGAAATAGCTCCTTTTCAATTTCCGAAGTTTTATCTAGAACAAATATTTTACTGCTATATTGTAAAGGAAATTTATTGATAAGGTTAGAATGCTGCCTACTTACATGTTTACTTTAAGTTAACAAATTCTTGTTCTAGCAAACGTTTTCTAGGTAAAATTCAAGGATTTTTACACTTCCCATTACTGACAAGAACACCGAAATCATAATTTAAACTGATTAATACCTGAATGAACTTCAAAATGGATTTGACGAACAAATAAACGCTTCTTAAACTATAAGTTTTAGATAAGTGTAACGATGTTTTACTATTTCTCGTAATCTATAATTTACGAAGCTACGAATTAATAAAAAATTTCTTTGTCGTAACTAACATTTAAAGTGCTTTCCTTAAAATTCTAAAACTGCAGATATTGGGAAGTTACAGACCTGCCTCCGAAATTAAATCCTAGCTACTGCTATGATGGAGCTCTGTAGAAGTCTGCATCGTTTTCAGACTGTAATCAAAGCAAATTATCAGTTTCTGATATACTATATGAGATATACATGTATAAAAATGAGCGCTTTTATTCATTAGTGTTGAATAATTTTCGAATGAAAATTTTGTCTTTTCCCATCTTGACTTATCATTTTATAGCTTCTGAATTTATGTAACATTATGAGCAGTTCTTCTACAGTATTGCTTATTGAGTACAAATAATAATAATAATAAATATATACTTTAAATCATAATTAATTAAAAGGTTAAATTATACTGTTATTTATAAAATTGTAATTCCTGAATATAATGCTTTTAATTATTGTATGCAATACAAAAAATTTCAAAGGAATAAAAAAAGTGTTTTTTCATATGAATTAAACTTAATTGTTACTTGTTCCATTTTTATTTAAATATTTTTAACTAAAATATTAAAATATTTTATTAGGTTAAAAAAATGCCATATGTTCCGAAAGTTTTTATAAAACCTTCTCCATCCATATCATAGATCATTTCAAATTCAGACAAAATTAAAAATTCCTATTCAGAAACGAAAATTTAATTCATTCATTTTTATCTCAAAAGAAAATTTTATAATGCTTTTAAATACTCAATAAGCTTCTACAGGATCTTTTAAAGAATATTAAAGTAAGGAACGCATTTAGAATTCTTTGGAATTATGATCCAATTTTATATAAACTGAATCTCATATTTTCTTCTGTTAAGGTGATTTTATATAAATTATGTTAGATCCTATAAGTGAGACCTTTAGAAATTCTGTATAAATTTTTATTATTTGTACAGAATATGTACTCATATCTCTTTAGAATCTTTATTTGAACTTTGAAGCACCTGTCTGTATCTTGGCCATCAGTTTTTTCTGAGATTTTTTTAGACTAAAGAGACATTTTCTGCTTTCAGAAATTTCGTTTGGAATTATTATTGAGTTACCATTATTAATTATATTATTATAATGGTAACTCAATAATAATTCATATATATTAACCAATTTTATTTTAGTTATCTTCTTTATTTATTTTTATTTATTTATTACTTTTTAATAATTTTTACCTATTTGCAGTGCTACTGTACATTTGTTTGTTTTGTTAGTGGTAGAATTTACTTGTGTAAGCCTCCTGGTGTACTTTGTGGAACACGAGGAGTCAAAATTAGAGTTCACCAAAAAAAAATATATATATATATATATATTTTAGAGGACTTTATGATTGGATTTCTTTTTATAGAATACTATAAGACAGTCTCCTAAGGAAGCGTTTATTTATCAGATGTAAAGGACTGAAAGCTGGCAGGTTTATAGAGTGGTGACCTATTTATAACCTGAATTTTTGGGGACATCATCTGCAACAGAATATATGTTTAATACTTCCTTTAATCAGGGTATTGATTTGGGACCCCCCCCCCCGCAACTGCTACTTGAACAAACCCATAAACCCGCCTTTCAGTGAAAGAACTACTTTAAACTGTCAGATTATTTTGTGTTTGTCTCTTAATTATTAAAAAACTAATTTTTTTCTAAATCATTAATTTACTCTGTTGCCATTGGTAAATTGGTCAATCTGGTTAAAATGGTGTTAATTCAATCCATTTAGCAAACGTTATTCACTTGCAAATAAGAAAGCATACTTATTTGAATTCATATTCAATCTTACCTTTTGTTTGAAATTTCCACCAATGTTCTATTAAATTTAAGTTGAAATCGATAAGTATCGCAAATTACAATTTTTATTTATAGCGTAAATTTAGGAAATGTTTTCTAGTTTTAAATTTGAATACCGTATGAAAAAGGGCTTTTTAATCATTATAAGTATTTTGTAAACGAATGAGGTGAAAACTGCATTTCATTGTCGGCCACACCAACTGTAAAAGACAGACAAAGTCATAGAAAGGAATTTGATGGTCACAAACATTTACTTTCTTTTCCGGTATTTAGATGGCGCCACTGAGAAGCAGTTCTTAACTCGCAAAACAGTTTTTATATCATATACGGGTATACGTTATTTGTATCATTTGCCTTTTAATATATCGATATATATAAAACACTTTTAAATATTTTTATTCAGAAAATTTTCTTTCCAACGCCTTAAATTTCAAAACTCAGCCTTTTTCTTTCGAATGCTATATTTGCTGATTATTTGATCACAAATATAAGTGCTATTCAGACTAATATATTCAAAGAGATTAATACAGCAGTTACTAAATTGAAGCTTCACTTTTCGTTAAAACTAAAGCAGACCAGAATTTAACGGCTGTAAAAAAAATAACAAGGGTTCAGCGAAATTAAGTGGGCTATTAAATTTAAATTCCATGCTATATTATCAGTAAATAAGGCAGCTCCAGGTATAGACGACATAAGCTCACGGCGCCGATTTTCAGACGGCACCAGCTGAATTATTCCCACAAACGACATAAAATTAAAAGCATATTCAGCTTTGAGCTGTTAAAATGTTTAATTTGCAGGGCGTGCCTAGTTTCACTTATCGCCGAAAAAACAGAAAATGCCAGATCTGAAACTGCGAACAAACATAGTCGTCTTCCTGGTGTATGAGCGGCCGCCGAGGAAGCCAGTTAAGTTGCTGTCACAAGCAACAGCTAAATAAACGTACATTTCCCTTTGAATTATAATGAATATAATGAATGATTCAAAGTGAATTATAATGAATAATTCACTTTGAATGGTTTAATTAAAAAGGGACATGAACTGCCGTGAACAACACGGCGCCGAAAATATTGGTGGTGGGCTTGTTCATAAACTCGGTTACTATGAAAGTGAATTGATGCATACCAGAGTGGCCTGTGACTGAGTGGACTGATAATTGATTCGGATTCAAACATAAATCGAAGATAACTGCCTGCAAGTATGTTTTTGTACTTGCAAAAACATACTTGCAGGTTGCAAAAACATACTTGCAGGTAGCACAGTAAATATGAGCCAGTTCTCACATTAGCAAAGTAAATATGAGCCAGTTCTCATTCAGTCCTTCAATACTACTACTACTAATAATAATAATAATAACAATGTGGTTAAGTAATTGGTTTTCCCCTAATTTTGCTAAATACCAGAATTCGGAACCATGCCTAGATATTTCTATGTGCTCTCCAATGTCACAAACTATTACATATACAAGGGTAGCAGAACTAATGATCGCAACTTTTAAGGGTTGATAAGACATTGCAAAATAATAATAATAATAATAATTTCATATACGTGAGTGATAAAGACATGTCAACGCGGAAATAGTTAAGTACGAAGAATTATTGAATGAATAATAAATATAATGAATAATATATATGCTAAATAATATAAAGAATGAATAATATAATAATAATACATATAATGAAGAAGAATATAATGAATGAAAGAATAATATAGTAATGAATGAATAATATATATAATGAAGAGCAAATAGTCCAATAATTTAAACAAACTTTTTATTCACGAATATTTACAAGAAATTATGTTTGACATTTTACAAACATTGTTCAAAGGAATGACAAACAACTGCAATACATGCATCACAGCGACTTTTCCGGATATTTTTCTCCATCGTCACAAAACTACTGGGGTTAGAAATCTGCTGTTCAAACTAGCTCCAGGAACTCGCTTTTCTGGAAAAAGTTCTCTACTGCGTTTAGCATTCATCGGTGTAATTACCAGCTTTACAATATTACGAAATCGAGTATGCAAAAAGAGAGAAAAAGTGTTAGAATATAGATGAAAAACTGCACCTTCAAAATGACATGCTGAAAAAACATTTCAAGTTCAAAATGATGGACTGAATTGGAATTATGCAATAATTATTCGCCATCAAAAGTTTGATTTTACAGAAAAGCATAAATATCTGAAATTTTCGGAAATATTTCTATAAAAATAATTCTATTACAAACATGCATAAAGTAACTGATTTACACACCCTTACATTGATATAATCATATTCTGTTTTGATTGTTGCTTTTTGTTTATATGAATTATTGGAAATACATAAATTTATTTTTTATATAAGTATAACATTAAATGCATTAGTGTATAATGCCTTCGTTTTATGCAAATATTCAATACATTTATCGGAGAACATTTCACTTCCTTAGTAATGTGCATTATGCAAAAATTTTAATTTAGGGCTTAATAACCTATAAAGTACAAGTATTTTATGTTAATTAACCAATTAGTGTGATTTAAATCTTTATTACAACTTTTCGCTTCAGTAGTTTTCATCAGAATGCAAATTAGTTTTATGTGCATTTAAGCTTAGGGTTAAGAATGTTTATTTTAGAGTTTCTGGCAGCCGCATCTTGCTGTTACTTACTGTCGTCAGCTCTCTCAGACTACATTACTTCCATCTGAAATTTAGCTTTCTATTATGTTAGTTTAAATACTCGTAAGAGATGGAGGTTCGCTTTATCACAAGCTGCACCTTTCTGTTCATTTAAAACTTAAATAAAGAGGTTATTTTAACCTTCTTTAGACTTTACGATTTGCTTCAGACTCTCAGATAACTCGCTAACAGTCTAGCAGCGTCTGCAGACTTTTACACTAGCTTCTAGATGCAGTAGCACCCTACAAACCCTAGGACAGTACAATAATTAAACCTTAGAATTTCTAATGTGGGCGCAGTCTAAGGGATTATACCTTAAACTTTAATTTTTTTCACTCATCCACATTACGACAAGGCTGCACTGTACTCTTTTACGGCAAAACTGATAGGGTGATAGATAAAATTAATCAAACATTTAGTATTTAATAAAGGAGCAAATTAAAAGAAACTATTACCAAAATGAAAAAGTAAAGTACTCCGTTTACAGTTAATGCCAATAAAATATCATTTATAATTCCAAGAAGGAAATTTTTTATTTTTTAGGAAACATACGAAAACGCGTTCTTTGATTGCTAATGAACATAATGAGTATTCTGATCTTTTTAAATTGTTTTCACTTAATCAATCCTGAAAACTGGCAATATTATATTTGTTAGGTCTCGTACATTGGAGATGAAAATACTCTAAATCTGCGTTTCTCAACCCATGACACGGAATACGGATACACGAAATTATCTCAGGAGATACCCGTAAAAAATTATGTAATTGTAGACATTGATAGAGAGATTGAACATAAGAGAAAAAATGAAAAACTTTTGTAACAAGTGGCATTTCCAATCCAAATTATGTTTCATTATAGAAATTCGAACTAATTAAACTGAACACAAAATAATTTTAATTTAGAAAAATATGAAAGTTTTAAACTCAGGTTATATATTTTATCTGGACGACTACTACCTGTCAAGAGGTCCAAAACCATCGGCAGTCACCTGACAATAAAAGATTTTGTTCAAAAATCCTTACACAAAACAGGTAGGCAATTCGGCATTGTTTTATGTAATAAAATTTTATTCCCGAGATGAATCTGGGATAAATCTAGTGCCAACCGTTCTATAAATACGGTATTCGTACGGTATCTAAAACCTCGTGTAACATAAAATTTCAGATTGGTCACAATATGTACATTGTACTAGTATAATTCTATACTATCAGTATGCAAACTCAAGTCTTGTCAAGAAAAGATTTCTTGTTGATTTCAGTGTGCTTTATTACAATCTGCGTTTTTGATAATGTTTTTTCAACCTTTTACGATGATTTTTTTCGTATAGAAACTTGCGAGCTTCGTGTAACACTCATATCGTATAAAATTCACCATATAAAAGAGTAGTTGATTGGTCTACGCAAATACGCTAACTGAAGCCCATTGAAGTTATTTAGGTAGTACAGAAATGAATGACACAAATGCTGCACAGAGCGGAATACAATTTATTAACAAAAAACTGATAGTACATCAGTTAAAAATAATCCCCGCCCATGTCAATACACTTCTGCCATCTGGCTGGAAGGTCTTTGGTAAGCCAGTCTGTGGGCGTGTTGGTGCACCACCTATAAACAATTGCATGCAATTCGGCAGAAAATTCAACATGTTGACCCCTGACTGCATCCTTCATCTAGTCAAGCAAGGAGTAGTCCGAGGTCTTTACATTTGTCATCTCCAAATCATCATGCACATTCGCCTGCAATGTTCCTTGCGCAAGCCCCCTGTCTCTACATGCATCTTGTTGAACGTTATGAACCTGTTCACCATGATCAAATACGACACGGCTGCCACATTTGCTGCTGTACGCGCTGCTGTATGTTGTTTGGCGTCCTGCGCTAACACCTTTGGCTGGGGTCTCCACTTCCACTGCTGAACTTGGCCGACCAACGGGATAAGAGTGCTTTGTTCCCGGACATCGACACCATGCGCCGATGAATCTCACTACCTTGTATCCCTTCCTTCCAGAGGAACCATGCTGTCCTACGCTGACCTATGATAATCACCTTCCACCATTGCTGCCCACGCTCTCAATGACGACGGCAAAAGGGGTGCCGCAGGTCTGCCTAATTGTTGAAGAATTTTGCACTGAAATAGTGGTCGATCGAATAGAATAAGTGGTAATCTGTGGGTGCTAGGTCCTGCGAGCATAGTGGATGGTACAGTGTTTACCAAACAAATTACTGTCTGGTAAACCTGACCGTCCTTCCTTGTATGGTCTTGCTTTGTCGTGGAAGTAGAGCACACCTTTGCGATTAACTAACACTGGCTCCTTCTGCTGTCTGGTATGTTGCACCCGTTGCAACTGCTGATATTACAGGTTCACAGTAATAATTTATCCTGGTAGTAGTATCTCGTAATACATGACTTGTTCCCAGACACACAATATGATCTTGCGTGGGTGAAGAGTTGGTCTTGAAGTGTGAGACACAAGGTGTGGTGTTAAGACTAATATCTAGTATGCTTGACAGTGTTAATACTAGACCCACTT